ATCCGATCTTGGTATTTCTCATAATGGCCCCATAATGCTTTATTGTGACAACAAATCAGCCATACACATTGTTGTCAATCCAATTTTTCATGAGCGCATAAAACATATTGAACTTGACTGTCATATAGTTCATGAAAAAATTCAAGAAGATCTCATTCGTACTGCTACGTCCTAATTAGGTTTTCTTAACGAGCCGATATATTCACAAAAGCTCTTCGAAAGGAGCTATTTCAATTTCTCGTAGGCAAGTTGGGTGTACTCAATGTTTACACTCCAACTTGAGGCGGGGTGTTAGAAGTTACCAAAACTTTTGAATTGAAATTCAAATCTTGAATTTTAAATTTTGAATTTTTATACACTTTCTAATTCCGTAAGATTTTGTATTGATGTACACTTTCTAATTACTTAGGATTTTGTATCGATGTACTATTTCTATTTTTGTTAAATAGATCCCTATAATCAAGGGATTGCAACCTCTTGTATTCTCGACATATACCCACATTTGGGTAATATAATTAATTGAAATATTATTCCATTTAAATTGCTCCAAAACTTGACAAAAATTAAAGAAAAATTGTTTCATGCGGGTTGAACCGCATTTCAACAATATACGGTCCAGAGGTATAAAGCATCCATCTTAAAGATAGATGCAAATAGGTGGTCCATCTAAAAACAAGTATAATTAATGGTCCAAATGTTTTCTTAATATAATTATTATTTCTAATTTTTAATTTATTTATTTTTTCATATTCATGATCCCCATGTTAAAGATTATATATTCTCTAAAACTTAGGATCAAATTATATTGAAAAAATATATTTATTGCCAAACCCACATTTCTACAATATGCAGGCTGGCCTTATAGAAACCATGTCCAAAAGTAAATGGCCTCATTATATACTTTCCTAATTGCAAGTGCGCTCCTTGTAAATAAAAAAGAACCAAAGCCTGAAAAATATGTGCCTTCACCAAAAAAATGAGCAAGACCGAACAGATCTAATTAACCATGACAATGCTCTGATACTATGTGAGAAATCTAATAAATCAGTATTGTTTTGTATGTAGAATTATGTACAACGCCCTAACTTATAGGGTTACAAACTGTGTAAGAATGAATGCACATTTGTAATGTGGTTACACATAAAAGGAAATAAGATATTACACAATAAATATATACACGTTTCTATTAATCTACAACAAATCCATATTTGCAATTAGCTGGAACTGATGCAATGCTTTGTTTTGTTTTCTTCCTTTCCATCTATTGTCCTATTCCTCTCCTTTCTGTTTTTCTTTTTTTCAAGGAAATTTTTTCCCATTTTCCCCCGTATTAGCAACATCAAATAGGGTTTTCTTTACTTTACTTTTTTTTTCTTTTTTTTCTTTTTTTTTCTTTTTAGAGCCTTAAGGCTGTTTGATAACTTAGATATTGCACCACCCCAATTCTAGGTAAATCCAATGTTTTAAACATATACCGGGCTTGAAAAAATTATTACTATTGTTTAGTCTAATATTTCAAACATTAAACTACCCAACCTTAGGGTGCTCCAATCTATGTTACATCGGACCACCCCAAGCTTGAAATATCATTATTATGGTAGGAGGCAATGTTTCACATATTGAATCACCCAACTTTAGGGTGGTCTAATGTTTAAAACATCGAACCAACCCAGAATTGGGGTTGTCCGATACCTGGGCTATCGAATAGCCCTAAACCAGTCCAATTTTGCTCTCATCGAACAAGAGGGAAAAACAGGAAAAAAAATGCTTGGACCACTATGCAAATTTGGCAAATATATGGAACATTCCAACAAATGTTTTCCGGGTTTTGCAAAAACTTTATTGTCTATACACCGTCCTTGTTATACAACAATTTTTAATAAAGGAAAAAGTTTATTTAAGGTTGCAACCTTAAAATGTAGAATTACATATGCACCCCAAAAATCCATCGAAAATTGTTATTTTAATGTTGAAAAACCCTCTAATTGATCATCTCGACATCAAGATGTAGGAATATGAGAAAAAAAACAAAAACAAAAACAAAACAGACTTTGTATCCCAGAAATAGTGCATCTCGCAACACATTATCTAGGCCGTCCATTTCAAGATTTTCATATATGTTTATAGATCTATTTGATTTTAACCATTTTTTTAGAGTAAAAATTTTATAATTAGACATCAAAATAGATTTTCAGATAATCCTAATAATTTTTTACACCAAATTTGCATGTTATGATAAAATTTGGAGGAGCCTTAATTGGGTTGTTTAAGGTTGCAACCTTGTAGAAACCACTTAAAGATACATTGACATTCCTAGGAAAAAAAAAACACAAAAGGAATTTTCCAATTTGCCATTGATAAGTGGCGCATTACTTATACTAGTACTCTAGTTATTTGATTTTGGGAAGTTTCATTGTAAATCCTAGTTTATTTATGATATTTAAAGATAGTTCCATGTAAATCCTACTCTTACCCATCAGATCTTGATCGGGTGGTTGAAAATATATATCACTATATGAATTTTAATTTTTTTTTACGAATTGGATCAAGATGAAATTTTGGACGTATATACTGAAAAATAGGGTCCACAAGAAAAAATATGAAAAAGAATATTTTATAAAATTTAAAATGAACGAAATACCCCCATCATTTCTAAGGGTAATTTTTTCATTTTAAATTTTAAAAAATATAAAATACAATTATATGGTACGAGATTGTTTGAAATATATGTCCCCAAAATTTTAGCTTAAAATGATTAGTAGAAAAATATTAAATTTAAAATAATAATATATATTTTCAACCATCCTATCAAGTTCTAAAGTCCTAACGGTTGGAAAAATCACCAAAATTACTATTCATTTTAGGTCTAGACCTAGAATTAGGCTTAATCATATTACATAAGTTACAATCAAGTTCTTTTGTTTAAAGTCCTAACGGTTGGAAGAATCACTAAAATTACTATTCATTTTAGGTCTAGACCTATAAGTAGGTTTAACCATATTACATAAGTTACAATCAAGTTCTTTTGTTTAGAACATAAAGGGTAATTTAGTTGTATCTCTTTTTCTCCTTATTAAATTAAGCTCAATTTCGGTACGTTCATGTTTCTGACCAATTCGGTACGTCCATGTTCCGGTACGCCTAGAAAAATATTTTAAAAATATTTGAAATTACAAATTCATATACTATTCATGGGTGATTTGGTTATTTTAATTATTTTAAATTATTTTTAAAATCTTTTTTTGGGTATACAACGCTGAGAAGCATGAACATACTAATTGAGCTTAACTGATTATAAAACATGAACTACATGAGACAGTTTTTAAATATAAAAAAATAAAATTTATCTGTAAATTTGTCTTAATTGTATATAAATTTATCTGTAAATTTGTCTTAATTGTATATAAATTTATTATAAATATAAAAGCGCAAAGGTATTAAATTTGCTTCACTTTGGCCAAAGCGTTCGGATTTTAAGTATAAACCAAAGCAAAGAGAAGTGTGATGCCACCGTTTCGGTTAGATTCGGGCCGCTTTAGGTATGCTTCGAGCGGCTTCGATTAGAAAAGAAATAGTTATATAAAAATATTTTTAAATATTTTTTTATTTTTAATTTTTTCTTTTATTTTATATATTTTATAGGGAAAAACATCTCGGTTGACACTACTTTTAAGTGTCATTTCTCCATACCCAACGTTTCAAAACTTATCTAACAACATAAAGATTCCATCTATTATATTTTTAACTCCCTAGAATACTTTTACCCATTTTTAATATATATTTTTAGCCCAAACAAACTTAAAAAAATACGCCCATTCTAAACCTCTCTCTCCCTTCACGTTCTCTCTCCCCAAGTATTCGCAAAATCGAATCGAAATGGTTAACAAGACATGGGGTCAGAAGCAGTTTAATCGGTTTAACCAGTAAAGCGGCCAATTTAACCGTTCTAACTTGGCAAGTCGTTAGCAGT